AGGTCCTACCATGCCAGACAGGTCGGTTGAAGAGCGGTAAGACTAAAAGCAACAAAACCAAGGTCCGAAGGCGAAGTCGTACTGCTGACTGTACAGAGGTGTGACAGCAGTAAGGTGTTTCCTTCAGACAACCAGCATGACAGCGATGCTGCCTTCCAACAAGGAGGGGTGGGATTAGAAAAGGTCGACCCTAAAAATGCACACCTCGCCTTATCCCACGGATATCAGTCTCCGGCGGTAAGGACTCAACAAGTACGGAGCTAACACAAAAATCACTCATAAAAAGGTCGTGTGTGACCGACCTCAAGCAGCTGTCCCTTGGGCACTGCGGTCACGCTCTCAGGTCACTATGACCAACTCTAATCCAATTTCCTTTTCAGGTACCTCCAGAAGAACCCTTCAACGGTGTGGGAAACCGGGAAGTGATAACCGCCCTCATACCTCTAACAGCACTCAAGACCACTGTATTCATAGTCAACCTCCCTCTTCAATTCCTATTATTCCTCCTACATCGACTTTATACACTAAACTTCCTCTTTTAGCTTCCTCCTCAAGTGTCACCACAACCAACGATTCTAGTGCTCAAAACACTGTCCCAGGTCTACTGAAACCTCGCTCCAAACTATACATTGGAGCCTTCAACGTACGCACACTATGCCAAATCGGTCAGCAGGCTTCCTTGGCTAAAACCTTAGAATCTCGTACCATTGATGTATGCTGTGTCTCCGAAACACGCATACAGGATCCTAGTGTGGTCATTCACTTGACCTCACCTCGGCAAAACGGAGAGCCGACGAGATACACCCTCCGTGTATCTGGCGACCCGATGGCTAGTTCTCGTGGACTGGCAGGTGTAGGCATAGCACTAAGTATGAGGGCGGAACAAGCGCTATTAGAGTGGATCCCCGTTAACAGTCGTCTAGGCGCTGTTCGGCTAAACGGCTCCGTAAGAACTCGGAAGGATAGGGACACACGTCGTCGCCTTTTCGTCGTTTATGCCTACGCTCCCACTGACTGCAGTTCGGATGAAGTGAAAGATGAATTTTACAGAAAGCTGTCTGAACTTCTTCAGAAAGCTAAACGTTCAGACATAGTACTCGTAGGAGGTGACTTTAATGCCCAGGTAGGTAGCCTAAACAAAACAGAAAGACATTTAGGTGGGTATTTTAGTATTCCGGCACAGCGAACAGATAATGGTGATCGTCTGCTGCAACTATGCTCAGACAATCGTTTATTTTTAGCAAACAAATTTTAAGCATAAGGAGAGACATCGTCTAACATGGCGACCCCCTGCACCAAACCAACGATGGACTCAAATAGACCATATTGCCATCAGTCATCGTTGGAGAGGGTCGATAGAAGATTGTCGCTCATTCTGGAGTACCTGCTTGGACTCTGATCATGCCCTAGTACGAGCACGCATCTGCTTGCGCCTCACTGGACGCAAAAGAGCCACACAAAAAAGACTCATTAGAACCGAATTGAGTAATGAGAAAGCCAAAAGTAGGTTTCAGGAACAACTGAGGTCACACTTAGGTAGTTCAGAAAACGAGGCTGACCCAGATGTTGCTTGGAAAGTTATACAAGCAGCTGTGGAAACAGCAGTGACATCTACTAGTGATTTAAACCAAATGGTTACAAAGAACCAATGGATTTCGTCAAGGTCTATTGCACTGATAGATTCTCGCAAACTCATCCCATCAGGTTTTGAATACGATGAAGAGCGTAAAGAAATCAAATCTAGATTAAGCAAAAGTCTAAGGAATGATCGTGAGCAGTGGTGGGCAACGAAAGCAAAAGAGATGGAAAAGGCGGCGGCTATAGGGAACACAAGACAACTCTACAGACTAATAAAACAAACTGGAATTAATAAATCAAGTGTAAGTCAGACCATTTCGGAAAAAGACGACACTCTCATCTGCTCCCAGTCCAGACGCTTAGAACGATGGGCGGAACACTTTAATGAGCAGTTTAGCTGGCCTTCAGCTACTCTACAACTACCCTCTATTCCCAGACAGTGTGAATGGAACATTGAAGTAGGTCCCCCAACTCTAGCTGAAGTTCAGAAGGCTATAGTTAATCTAAAACGAGGAAGGGCAGCTGGTCCAGATGGATTGGCCCCAGAGGTCTTTAAGGATGGTGGTCTAGTCTTGGCGATTAGGTTGACTAATATTTTAGCTAAAATCTGGGAGTTAGACGTCATCCCATCTAACTGGTCACAATCACTTATCGTCCCAATATTTAAGAAAGGATCAAAATCATCCTGTGACAACCACAGAGGGATTAGTTTGACTAATATAGTATCTAAAATACTAGCTTCGATAATTTTCGGACGCCTAACTAAGACTCGTGAACTGCAAACACGTGAAAATCAGGCTAGCTTCAGACCTGGTCGTGGCTGCATCGACCACATATTCACCATTTGTCAGGTTCTAGAACACAGGCATACTTATCGGCGTCCGACAATGGTGGTCTTCCTCGACTTAGAAGCAGCATTTGACTCTGTAGATGAGAGGTTTTGTGGCAGTGTCTGTCATTGGAAGGCGTACCTCAGAAGTACATAAACCTTATGAAGGCTCTTTACTAGAACACTACTAGTCGAGTCAGAGCTTATGGCGAACTGTCATCTGCTTTCCCAACCTCAAGTGGGGTCCGTCAAGGCTGTCCACTTTCTCCGTTTTTGTTTAACTTTATCATAGACCTCCTGATGGAAATAACGCTCTCATAGACTGAATTCTCGGGTATTGATCTCCTACCAGGAGGTCCACTTATTGACTTAGAATACGCAGATGACATAGTCCTGTTTGGTGAAGACGCTGATAAAATAGAGTCTTTTGGTAGCACTGAGCAACAATGCTAGAATGTTTGGGATGCGCTTTTCTCCCTCTAAATGCAAGTTGTTGCTTCAGGACTGGTCTGCATCAACACCTGAACTAAGGATAGGGGGTGAAGTAGTCGAACGCGTTGACAACTTCACTTATCTTGGAAGTCTGATCAGCCCTAATGGGTTGGTGTCTGACGAAATCTCAGCACGGATTCGAAAAGCTCGTTTGGCCTTTGCCAACTTACGTCATCTATGGCCAAGGCGAGATATCCGTCTATCAATTAAGGGACGAGTATACTGCGCGGCAGTTCGTTCCGTCCTTCTATACGGCTGCGAAACATGGCCTTTAAGAGTGGAAGATATTCGTAAGTTACTAGTATTTGACCACAGGTGCCTTAGAATTATTGCGGGTATCTGCTGGGATCACCAGGTAAGTAATAGTGAGGTTAGACGCAGGGTACTAGGGAATGATGGTAAATCAGTTGATGAGGTTATGAATCTTCATCGACTGAGATGGTTGGGCCACGTATTGCGTATGCCTGAACACCGATTACCACGACGCGCAATGCTGACTAGTGCAGGGGATAATTGGAAGAAAGTTAGGGGCGGCCAAACCAAAACGTGGCATCAGTGCTTGAAGTCACTAACTTCTGGTCTGAGCCATGTTGGGAGATTCAGACTGCCTGGTTGGGGTCCGCGTGACTATCGTAACCAATGGTTGGAGACTCTTGGTGACATGGCTCAGAATTGATCACAATGGCGTCGGTGTATACACTCTCTGTCTTCCTTAAATTAATAGATTAAAATCGCTTCATATCTGTCTAGGAACTAATTCTTTCTTCCTTTACTATCTCCTCATACACAATCTTTCTTCTATATATTACCACCACTGAATTAACTACTCCTATGAATCCGGTGTTCATCTTGTTGTGCTAATGCGGTATGGCAACTTGGACCGATGCATATACGTGCCTGGTCCTACGTTGCAGCTGACTGACTGACTGTAAACTGGTATTATTAAAATTGTAGTGTTTGAGTAGAAACAACAGATTGTAGTTAGACGAAATGACAATCTGTTAAGTGTGTGCTTCTTTCACGATAGTTTGGCCAGTAAAATCTCAGGAAAACATTTGTTATTTCAAGCAAAAGAAAGGAGTAAAACGACAGATGGTTTATAGGAAAAAAAGATGAAAACATGTACACAACTGAGGAGGAGAAAGATACCAACCTTGGGATCCTTTTGTTTTTTTTAAAAAAAAGGATGAGTATGACATCAATAAGATAGATTTCGTGTTGTCAGAGAAGTGATATACACAAATATTTACGGTTTGGCATAATTATTTAGTATCTACTACTTCGAATAAAATCCAGTTGGAAAAAAATCTGGGAAAAGTTTTACTAAAAAATAATGCTTTTGTAATTAGATTCATATACCTCTATCAATAAATGAATATAGGGGGAAAGAAATCTTTGCGATTAAGGAAGGGAACAATTATAGCTAGTTAGATGAACTTTAGGAAGTTTATTAAGTCGATGAAACCTTAGTAATTTCACGAATAAAAACAACCATTTTCGTCTAGTCATGATAAACATTACAACTGAAAAATCGGTCATAGATAAAGTTTTCCTTACCTTCTGTTAGTGAAACCTTCTAGTCTCAAACAACCAAGAATTAAGAAATGCCTACATGACAAGAAAGCTATCTAAGGTTGATATTAATATAAAAGGGTTTTTCATAATCGAAGACGATTATATGCATCAACAAATAAACATTGACAGCTTCGAAATGAAATATTTATGAAGTTTCAAGATGAAACTGTGACCAAGTAGCAACCAAGGTAGTTACTCTTCAACGTCTTTGGATGGTAGTCAAGTTGCATTGGAAATTGACTGAACCTGATAAATTTCGGATCACAACTCAACGGAGAAATGGTACAGGTCAACTGTGGGAGTTATAGACTTTCTGTAAGAGCGCCTGAAATGTAACAACCTTTCAACACTTCCTGCTCTACAATAATCTTCCCAACTATCAGTGTATGGGGAGAATTAACAATTGCAATAAACTTAGTGTTATCACCACTATTGTTATTACTATTACGAATAGTAATACTGATTTAGTCTGCGTAAAGTCATTGAGGAATAAGTCATAACATTGAAATACTGATGTATCACTCACCTATTTTCATAAATATATTCTCCTCTAATCAAATCGTCAATAACAGATACACCAACTTGCTGGAAGCGTGCTTCCAATAAATTCATAAATAAACAGTGGAATTCAGGAGCATCCTTAAAAAATCAACACAATTTAGAAGAAATACAGCATATTAGTTTTTTGGAAGAATTTAAATGGGAAATTATTGCGTTATTGCATGAACAAAAATTACATTGTGAATTGTCAGCAATGTCTAATGCGATTAAAACCAGCATGTATATACTGCAAACATATGTTTTCTTACTTGTTGTTCTGTATCACACAACCGCAATGCTTCAATCAAACCTCCTGGATCAACAATGCTAAGAAATGAAAAAAATACCAGGTGAGTGCTAATTAATGTCAATCATTAATAAAATGAATAACAATGCACACAATGTCTGTAAAAAGGAGGAAGTTGAAGTTGAAAAGTTCAGTGTTTGAACAATTAATAGTTTATGAAGAGTTGTGAAATTTCAGACAAGAAAAAATTTTGATTACATATATAAACAATAAAAAGGATAAATATTTAAGCATGATTTACTAACACTTTGATTGCCATTGACCTCATTCTAAACAAATCTATTAGCCCAATGGTGAACATGGGCTCCAGTATCCTAAGGCAACAAATGGCGTACGAACCAATTTTCGGTCACCGGCTTCCATGGGACTGCATTTCCTCACGATGCTCCACTGCCTTGAGATGACTGGTACTATTATTATTATTATTATTATTATTATTATTATTATTATTATTATTATTATTTACTACGTCATTTTTTCACTATCTCCTATTTCTACTTTTTGTATCCGTTTCGACTCAGACAGCAGCTCGCCTATGGTAAAAATTCAGCTTTATCTAAACGTTCTCGAGTCACTGCCTGGTTGAAAATTGTATGTTGCCACCGAATACGAGTACTGAAGCAGTCTTTCTGAAACCACGTGCACCATTCAAACTGGCTGTCTTCAACGTTCGCACACTTATGCAGGTCGGACAACAGATAGGGCTAGTTGTTTTTGGAAAGTCTTAATATCGACGTTTGTTGTCTATCCGAGACCCGTATTCAAGACTCTGGTGAGGTACTACAAGTTCGGTCTCCATCTGTCGCTTCAAAAAGCTTGTTTTATGTGCGTTTATCCGGGGACCCTGTGGCATCTTCGTCTGGTCTTGCTGGCGTTGGTGTCGCACTAAGCGCTAGAGCTGAGGCAGCACTAGTCGACTGGATCCCCATTAACAGTCGGTTATGTGCTGTTAGATTAGAAAGTTCCATCAAAGTGAAAAGAAATCGGCGTGAGAAACGATGTCTTTTCGTCATCTCCGCCTATGCCCCGACAGATTGCAGCCCGGATGCAATCAAGGATGAGCTCTACCACCAGTTATCTGTTCTTCTCCAGAAAGTGCATCCCACAGATATTGTAGTACTAGCCGGAGACTTGAATGCTCAGGTCGGGCGTCTAGGCACAGAAGAGAGCCGTTTAGGTGGCCGATGGGGACTTGTTGGTCGCAGGACAGATAACGGGGAACGTCTACTGCAACTGTGCACAGACCACAACCTGTTTCTGGCTAGCACTAACTTTCGGCACAGTCATCGCCGATGTGCCACCTCACGTCCTCCCTCTGCATCTCAAGCCTGGACTCAGATTGATCACATCGCGATCAGCTACCGCTGGCGTGGTTGTGTACAAGACTGCCGCTCCTTTTGGAGTACCTATCTGGACTCTGATCATGCTCTGGTCTGCGCCAATCATACCTTACTTTTCAGTGGACAACGAAGTGACCGTCACCAAAGGATTGATGTTAGCAAGCTGGCTGCAACTTCTGTTGCTAGTATGTATCGAACCGAGCTAGTTTCTAGGCTAGCTACCATTCGACCGAAAAGTATAGATGAGCATCGGTCTCGTCTGCATAACGCCATGAAAATGGCGAGTAAGGCCGCTTGCAGCTTCGCGAAACGTCCCGCTTACAATCACTGGGTTTCTTCAGGCTCCTTACAACTCATTGAAGCCCGTCGGTCTACTCCGGGTGACCGTGAGTTTGATCACAAACGAAGGCTGTTACGTAATGAAATCGGGAAAAGCTTGCGTAAGGACTGAGAAGCCTGGTAGTCAGAGCTAATGAGCTGAAAGCAGCAGTTGCATCTGGTAACTACCGGAAGCTCTCCCAATTCATTTGAGCCACTAGCTGCAAGTCTGGTGTGAGCGAAACAATCTGCGTGGATGACGGGATGCCAATCACTAACATCCATCGACGTCTTGGACGATGGGCAGAATTCTTCGAAGGGCAGTTCAACTGGCTTGCTGTCTCGACCAGGCTTTCCTTCCCTCCATGGCCTTTGACGACTGACCCACCAAATGAGGCGAAAGTATACAAGAAACTCCAACACCACCAGTACTTATGCAGCTACCTAGATACACGAACTTCTCGAGAAATTCTTGTATTTAGGTAGCTGCATAAGTGCTGGTGGTGGCGTGAGTGATGAGACCAATGCACGTATAGTGAAAGCCAGAGCGGCTTATGCCAATCTGGGCCATCTTTGGTGCCTTCGTGATGTTAATCATCTGGCTGTAAAAGGTCGGATCTACAACGCGTCGATGAGAGCAGTTCTGCTCTATGCTTGTGAAACCTGGCCTCTCCGAGTTGAGGATGTTAGACGACTCTCTGTGTTCGATCATCGTTGTCTCCGAAGGATCGCTGGCATCCAGTGGCAATACCATGTCAGTAATGCAGAGGTTCGACATCGTGTGTTCGGGCACAGAGACTATAATCCAATTGGTGTCACCATCTTGAAACACCGACTTCGGTGGCTTGAACATGTTCTACGAATGTCGTCCCAGAGAATTCCTCGTCGTGCATTATTTGCCGACTCTGGGACTGGTTGGAAAAAGCGGAGAGGTGGTCAGTATATGACATGGTGTCGTGGCATGAAAGAAAGCTGCAAAGGGCTAGCTTCTGTTGGTCATTCACGACTCCCTGGTTGGGGTCCGAGAGACGGTGTAACGCAGTGGCTAGAGACGTTATCAGATATGGCTCAGATTAGAAGCCAGTGGCGATCGTGCTGTAACCTTCTTTTACTTTCTTCATAAAAAGTGGTTGTATCTTCCTTAACTGAAAGATTTCTTATGATTGTACCTTTCCGTTTTCCCCATCATTGTTCTCTCTCTCTCTTTTTATTTATTTATAATTCCCCACGTTCATTTAATTTTTTTTCCTCCTCTTCAAATTATCATTGTTTTGTGTAGCGTATATATATTTGGTGCCCCTTGTACCGATATTTATGTGTTCAAATAAATATAAATAAATAAATTCTATTAGCAGTGGTTACAGATACATTTGTAAACTTATAGTTGCACATCAGTTCCTTTAAATGGACAGTTAATTGCTGAAGAATAAAAGTTTAATCGAAATTTGTAACATTTATTAGATGTCCATTTACTATTTTTGAACTATTTATAACACACAACATATAATTACCGCCAGCCAGAAAGATGATGCCTTCTCATAAAATCGAGTAGAAGGGAAGCAACCAGGTGATAGTGATAATAAAATAATTAACGACTGAATCAAATATTTCTCTTTTCACCCTGGATTTTTCAAACTTAAAATCCACTAGTTACAAATATCAGAATCTAAAAAGTGGAATGTACAAACACACTTTGTGCCGATATATATACATACATATATTTAAATAAATGTGTTAAAACAGAAAGAAATCGCTTCAAAGTAATCTGAATAAATAAATTTACCCTGAATTGTTTAACTGAAGTTGACTGAATATTAATTGTAGCTGGTGTATTATACCGGTTTCATCAGCTGTAAAATAGGATAAACAAGTAAACAAGTCAGTTGGTACTGGATAAAACATGAAGACAGTTTATTTTTATCGCCGACCGATATCGACGAAAAGACAGCAGAAAATAAAAAAGCATTGAAAGGTTTGTTTATTGTTGTTTAAAGTCTGGTTTTCCATGGTTTTTCGACTGATGTCTATCTTTAAATTTTAAAAATCTGCGTAAATTACATTGTATAAAAGTGTTTTCATTATTTACGGCTGATATTTTCAAAATAATTAATTTCATACCTTGAAATCGTCATCAACTACGAATCAAATATCCCGATGCAGATGAAAGCTATTACTTTATCTCCTAATTCCTAGTTAATTTTGACCAAACAACCAATTATAGGTACAGCTAGTATGAGTGTATCTACAAAAGGAAACGTTTTCCTTTAATATGCAGTTGAAGATATGGATAAACGATTTTATTTAAACGAATCATAGGTAGACTCAAGTTATAATAACTCGGTCAGTTATAATGGGAAGCTTGAAACTCGACCTAAGTAATTATTGAGATATTTCAAACAAAACAAGTGAACAGTATGAAACACTGGGGTTACTAATGCAAAGACCTTTATGAATAAATAACCCACCTTGTGATGGAATATCATATATTGCTTTTCGAAGTTCTTTGAACCGAAAATAAAGCTGCAAAAATGCATTTAAGTAACACGTACTCCCATAATTCTTCAAACCATTACGGCTATGCTAAATGTTCAAAGCATAAGAACATTGACAGGAAAAAATACATTAAATATGCATATTTCACACTCCAGTTTATTTAATCAACGCTAAGATAAAAACGTAAGAGTTTTGCAGTAAGCTTCAAGGTCTTACTAAAAGAATCAACTCAGAATTTATTTACAGAAAAGTATGGATATAAAATGTGTCGCGAGCTCGAATCGATTTTTAAAGTATTATGTACGGTCAGCTTATGTGTATGAATCAGTGTGTAGAGTGAAAAATAAATTAAAATGCCAAAATGATTAGATGCGTATACATTTGGCAATAGCATAAAATTGTAATTCAGCAACATCGTACAAAGTTGTTGACTAATGCAGAGGTTCGGCATCGTGTGTTCGGGCACAGAGACTATAATCCAATTGGTGTCACCATCTTGAAACACCGACTTCGGTGGCTTGAACATGTTCTACGAATGTCGTCCCAGAGAATTCCTCGTCGTGCATTATTTGCCGACTCTGGGACTGGTTGGAAAAAGCGGAGAGGTGGTCAGTATATGACATGGTGTCGTGGCATGAAAGAAAGCTGCAAAGGGCTAGCTTCTGTTGGTCATTCACGACTCCCTGGTTGGGGTCCGAGAGACGGTGTAACGCAGTGGCTAGAGACGTTATCAGATATGGCTCAGATTAGAAGCCAGTGGCGATCGTGCTGTAACCTTCTTTTACTTTCTTCATAAAAAGTGGTTGTATCTTCCTTAACTGAAAGATTTCTTATGATTGTACCTTTCCTTTTCCGCCATTATTGTTTTTTTATAATTCCCTACGTTCCTTACCTTTTTCTCCTTCTCTTTAAATTCTCATTGTTTTGGATGGCGCATATATATTTGGTGCCCCTTGTACCAATATTTGTGTTCAAATAAATATAAAATAACTTCATTAACTGGATTAGGCAGTATACTTGGAACTACACTTTGATCCTAACATTGTTGTTCATAAGATTCAACAACACCTGAATAACACTGTGAAGCTGTGACTGAATACTTGTAATCCATGTAGACATTATTCTCCACATCTCGGTAGTAGTTTGTTAAGTACTACTACTGTACAGTTTACGTTTTCCTGGATAAGTTAGACATTGTTCGAGTGCTATGAATGACGAGGGGTGTTAAAAAACAAACGTTTATTACAAATTCATGATGGGGTTTCGGTCAATCAAATTTTGTTGGGGCTGATAAAGTGACCAACTCATACTATCATTATAGATTTTTCTTACAAACCAGATTTAGAAATAAGAAATAATATGATTAGTACCAATTAAGGTTAAAATAAGAGTCGCCTTATTGTTCCCAACATAGTTATGCACCAACTTCTACTAGCATTGCTAGTTTTAATTGAAAACATTTAAGAACATTCTACATGATCAAACGAAACTAAGTCTAGTATTTAAAGTATTCCATAAAAATGATTAGCTATTTATTCTCGAAAAGACAGGCTATAGACTAAATCTAACCTTTCACTCTTTTGTTGCACAATATACATAATTTAGAGTATGTTGAATAATACTGTATGTTCATCACAGTACTCCAAAATGCTGGTTTTGTTACACAGTTTTAGTAACAGTTGAAAATATATAGCGGGTAATATCACTGGAACGAACTTCTTAACTAAGGATTCGCACAAACAGCAACCAAGGACGTGAGAAAGGATAATTGGAATAAGTGTGCACGAGAATTACAGGTGTTAAGCTCAAATAACAAAAGCCTTAAATTACCAGTTGTGTATAAAATATATTGGCCAAACCATAATTAATGGGAAAAAAGTATGTGTTCACTATAAAAGCCGTAAACTGAACGTTTTTAATCATATGCAGCCTACTTTGACGATAAATGGTAGTTTAAACTGTGAATTCGTAAAACAGTAACAACTTTTCAAATGGGTTTATTTTAGGAAGCCTACAAGGAATTGTTGGATATTAGCACAAATTTGAATTTCATGAACATGGTTACTAGCTCGGAATAGTTACTAAAATATCAAACAAAAAAGGAGAAAGTATCTACACCCCAATTTTATGCTTTGTCGTCACATGGACTCAAAAAATTCTTGAAATAGGAAAACTTACCGTCAGTAACTTTTCAACAGGAGACTCTGATTTAGTTTTGTCACATGTTTCTTCGTTCAGTACATTTATTTTGAGTAAGCCATTTAGGCAAGAAGATGAGTATTTACATGTCGTTCTGTAGAAGAAGTGAAAGATATAATTTAGCTAATCGGGGAGCGTCAGTGTACTTATATATAGGAAAAAATATCTAGATGACAAAGGTTTCTAGGAACCAGTAGTTCGATCAACGATATCTGCAGTTTTCGGCGTGGAACTTCGCGAGTAACTTATGTGGTTATTTCGAGTGTAGCAGTAGCAATCTACCAGGAATGTTTACAAGGATCAGATGAACTGTATGAAAAGCAATGTCACTTTTACTTTTGTCTAAATTGGATCTCAAAATTAGGATATATAGGTTACGAGCTACGTCACATATCATGATCAAAATCCTTATGATCATTCATATTGCGGGTTGCTATTTCAATGCTTAAATGGAAACCGCATAAACCAGGATAGCCTCGACGGTTAATGTGATAAAAGCTAACTGGCAGCATCTAAGCCCAGAAGTATAACCCAAGTCAACATGCATTTATAGACTATATCAAAAACACACATCGGCCTGTAACTTACTGGCAATTCCCAAAAGAACACGTAGGTTGATTAAATCTATATACTGTCCGTACAACATCTGTATTAACAATGACAGGAGCGTTTTCAAATTTGTTCCATAAACACTGAAGGTGGTGTTTCCTAAATAAAATAGTCAAAAACATGGAACGAACTCACATCGCGAAATTTTCTGTGAATATTTTAGTCGTAGGCAAGATGAGTTGTCAAGAGGTACGTCGTTGTCAGGCAATGTGGTGAAGTGTATGTACAGTATTCTCCAAGAGAAAAAAGGATAAATTCTGGCTATTATTTGATGACCACGCACAGTTTGCTTACATCTGGTAACAATAAAACTAGCCAGCGATAATAATGACTAGTTCCTTGTATTTCTGATACAACCTAGTAGTCAATACCAATCAAACTGTTGTAGCGTTCACACCAATAAGCGCGCCGACCTTCGAAGTCGAATGCAAGGTTAGAATCGAGTGGACTAGGGAACAAAACTTTTTTCTACGACATAGCACAAAAGATCTTTCTGAGAATGGGCATTTTTTAAACGTATGTCAATGATATGAAATAATGTGGGAACGAACAATGAATGGACCACACGTGAAAGTGAAAGGAAGACTTTAAAATATAGGGTAGTTCATATGTCCAAAAGTTAGGAAAAGTCGTGTAACTGTTAGTAGACGGCAACGTCAAATAATTTGCCTACAGTTTTGGTAACAATTAAACGTATTACTTACTTACTTACGCCTGTCACTTCCAATAGAGCATGGGCCGCCGACCAACATTCTCCAACCCACTCTGTCCTGGGCCTACCTTTCAAGTTCTATCCAATTGTAATTCACTCTTCTCATGTCTATCTTTCGATCGTAGCTGCTACCCTGAAGTGGTGGTCGAGCCTACCTATCGTGATGACCCAACCGAGCTATATTGGCTGGAACATATGTTCCTGTAGGTTCTACCACGCCAGGCAGGTCGATTGAAGGGCGGTAAGGCTGTGAGCAGCAACTCAAGGTTTGAGGGTAAAGTAGTACTTCTGACTCTCGAGGAGTGTGATAGAAGTAAGGTGTTTCTCCTCGGAGCAACTAGCATCTTCAGTGATGCTGTCTTCTCACAATGAAGGAATGGGTTAGAAAAGATCAACCATAAAAATGCTACATCTCACCTTACCTCACGGATTTTCTTCTCTGGCGGTAAGTCCAGAGATAAAAAGGCTGTGCGCTATTGGCCTCAAGCAGTTGTCCTTTGAGCTCTGTGGTCACGCACCTAGGTCGTTAAGACCAACATTAATCCGACTTTCTTTTCAGGCTCCTCAAAAGATACCATTCCACAGTGTGGGCAGCCGGGAAGAGACATCAGCCCTCAGACCCGTAAAAGCACACGAAACCAAGTTGGTCGCAATCAAATCCTTTCTACATTTCCTAATAACTCCCTTATCCTCACGACTAACCCTTCTCATGTCACTTTATCACCTCGCACCGCTAAAGCAAACGATTCGAGTACGCGGAACGTTATTCCTGGTCTCCCGAAACCACGCTCTAAATTACACGTAGGAGCTTTCAACGTCCGAACACTATGCCAAATAGAACAACAGGCCTCCTTAGCTAGAACTTTAGAATCTCGCGTCATCGATGTGTGCTGCGTCTCTGAAACGCACATGCGGGATCCGAGTAGTGTCATTCATTCGACCTTACCATATCAAAATAAAAAATAACATCGATCCACGCTTCGTGTATCTGGGAGCGCTGATGCTGCTTCCTGTGGCCTCGCTGGCATAGGTATAGCATTGAGTCCTATGGCGGAAATAGCTCTCCTAGACTGGATCCCAGTAGACAGTCGTTTGTGCGCTGTCCGACTAAACGGAACAGTAAGGACTGGGAAAGATAGGGACACTCGTCGTTGCCTCTTCGTCGTCTCTGCCTACTATCCAAATGACCGCAACTCAGATAATGTAAAAGATAAGTTTCACAGAAAGTTTTCCAACCTTCTCCAAAACGTAAGCGCTCTGGTGTAGTAATAGTTGCTGGTGACTTTATTGTTCAAGTGGGTATACTAAGTGAAAAGGAAAGACACCTGGTTGGATCTTATGGTGTCGCGGCCCAAAAAACAGATAATGGCGACAGTCTGTTGCAGCTGTGCTCAGATAACCGCCTGTTTCTCGCAAACACTAACTTTAAGCATAAGGAAAAACGTCTGACATGGCGACCCCGACTTCTTCTCAACGTTGGACTCAAATAGATCACATCGCTATCAGCCACCGATGGAGGGGCTCGATAGAAGACTGTTGCTCATTCTGGAGCACATGCTTAGACTCAGATCATGCTCTAGTGCGAGCGCGTATTTGTCTACATCTTACTAGGCGTAAGAAAGACGCTGCAAGGAAACCTTTTAAAGTCGTGCTTAATGAAAGCCAATATAAGAATATATTTCAGGAACAACTAGAAAAACAGTTAGGCAGCTATGTAAGTGATGCCCACCCTGAGGCAGCGTGGAATGACACCCGAAAAGCTGTAGAAACAGCAGTGATGTCTGCAAGTACGGTAAACCATAAGGTTAGGGAGAAACATTGGATCTCAGCAGCGTCTACCGCACTGACAGATGCTCGTAAACTCATTCCATCTGGCTCTGAACATAACGAAGAACGGTTTCAGCTTAAGCGTAAACTGACTAGAAGCTTACACAATGATCGTGAACAGTGGTGGGTAGCAAAAGCAAGAGAGATGCAAAAGGCAGTGGCAAGAAATGACAGCAGACAACTGTTCAGACTCGCCAAGGAAATTGTTACTGGAATCCAACTGTCAGCGAAACTATATCGGGTTTGACGGACATATCATTCACTCTCGATCCGGGAGACTGAGTCGATGGGCAGTTCAACTGGCCTTCAGTCACGCATCGGTTTCCAACGATCTCCGTTTGACCTGAATAGAAGTTTATATAAGTCTTCCAACTCTTTAGGAATTTGAAAAAGCTATAGGAAATCTGAAGCGTGGGAGAGCAGCAGGCCCTGACAGGTTCACCACTGAGATTTTTAAGTATGGTGGCCCAGTACCAGCAGTGAGATTGACTGGGGCTTAAGGTAGGATCTCTGATTGTGCCAGTCTATAAGAAAGGACAAAAGTCCTCTTGTGACAATCATAGAGGAATCAGTTTGACCAATATATTGTCTAGATTATTAGCTCCAATATTACTTCGAAGCCTCACCAAAGCTCGTGAAGAGCAGACTAGAGAACACCTGGCTGGTTTTCGACCTGGACGTGGCTGTATAGATCAGATATCCACACTACGTCAGGTCCCAGAACATAGACACACATCCAGACGCCCCATAATCATAGTATTTCTAGACCTTGGAGTGGCATTCGACTCTGTTGATCATGAGTTTCTATGTTAGTGTTTGTCGCCGAGAGGAGTACTGAAGAAGTACATTTACATGAGACGCGCGTTTTTTGAAGGTTGTAACTTCTTTTCATGTGGTATTATTTTATTTTCCTATTAGTTTTTCCCTTTAATTTAACATTTATTAGCGATAAATAACTCGCCACTGATAGGGTTCTGTCAACGCCATACATTAATTTTGCTAGTTTTCACGCTTTCTATTTTCACCAATGAACGTTATTATATTTGCTCTTAACTAATACTGGATCTGATTCTACCATTGAACTTTACACGTCTATCAAGTGAAATTATAACTGTCGCTGTTCACTTAATTAAATTTCGTATTTACATTACTTACAATAATGTCTCGGCCATCTAAAAAACATATAATGTCTCCTGATGCCTATGGCGCTTGCAAAAAATCTAGAGCGAATAATGTGAAAATTTATAAATACACTGTTCAGTCTGCATCTTACTTTGATCTTCCCTCAGCTACACTGAACGTGCACCGTTTACTTGGGCACGACATATCGCTACCTTGTCTATCGCTTGTAGATATAAATAACAGCAGTCATATGCCGTTAGAGTCGACATCATTTGTCAGTCCAAACAATAGCATCACATGTTGTGAGCAGTATTTAAAAAGTGCGGCTGACCCCAAACACCCAAATATTTTACAATCTGCCATCCTGAGTAGCAGTCCACGAAGTACATGTAAGCCTGTCCACAATAGCCAGCACTATGATGTAGATCTTGACTACTTACCCAGATATGTACTTTATCCCCCAACTAAGTATGCACAAGGTAACAATCCGGTAGACACCTGCAACAGCTTTCTGTGTAACCATATCGACCATGAAAACTTAGATATACATTCCAGTAATCTCATCACTATTAGATATAAAAGCAGACAAACAGAACTCAGCCTCACCCAAACCATCCGAGATTTATTACCGTACAAAAATTTAGTCAATGTTCCAGAAAATGCCGGTCTCGAAATTATAAAAAACACTGAAAAAGTAATTGACCATAAATCATCTGAAGTGTTAAAAAGACTTCAGTGTATGCGGAATGTTATTGTGTATAATATACCTGGTAGTGCGGACGTGAAGATTGTTAGAAATATTCTACTACAAGAATGTGGATTGTCGCAATTTTGGTGTGAAACAAGAAGATTACGTAAAACGCACACTAAAACCTCCTGTCCCATTCTATTCCAATTTAATAGTACTGTAGTGGCATTGGGCCCTACCACGAGACAATATGAGAAATAGACATTAAACATTTAACGCGGAGAAATACAGAAGAATGGAGAAGGCGGGAATAATAAATTGAATTAATACGAGTTAATCTTATGGCATGGCTCGACCATGCAGGCGTGGTCCCTCCTGCTAAATGTTACGTTATGTCTTTTATTCATATTAAATATATAGTTCCATCTCTAGCCTAAGCTTGTTCTCTATCACGTATTGGTAATTGTTACAATGCGATGAATTGGTGTAGACGATGATGTAACTTCCACGTAAGATCTTATAGATTAGGCAGTTACATCATGATAAATCTACAATTTTAGGATTAGGTCTATTATTAGAGCAGTGCTAATATCATAGTAGACCATAATTCTACATTGGTGAGCCCGACTTAAGAAACGCAACCTCTAATTCTTCATCCATATTTCCACTTTAACTTTTTCGATCGATATTTACTTATGTAAACCCATTATTCTAATAGTCCTCTGATTAATGCTCATATGTATTATCTTAACACTATATTGATTATTACTCAT